AAAAAAAAAAAAAAAAAAAAAAAAACTAAACAGACAATTTCACTTTTTAAAAAAAATTAAAAGTAATGTGATGGCTGTGACTTCCAAGGTGCATCTCACGGATTTTTAAAGATTTGTGGCATTTTTTTCAGAAAATTTTTTGTTTTCTCTGTGAAACAGCTCCTGTTGTGCATAAGGAGCACAGAAAKTACCAGATCAGAGATTATTTGGTGATGTTACCCATGTAAAATATTGAGAATTCTCCAGGAAGAGCTTAAACAACCATCAGGCTGTCCCCTGGTTTTTATGGATCCTCCTCCCAGGATTTTATTTCATAATTTTTGCATTCCTAAGACTCATGGCCAGCCCAGATTTTTATGAGGGAAAAGGAGAAGTTTCCTTGCTGGGTTTGGGGTGGGCAGAGTTGTTTTTTGAGATTCTCTGCCCTTCTCATCCAAACTCTAAAATTCTGAAATTGGTGATTTAGGCACRAAGCTGCTCCTAAACCTGAGATTAAACCAATGTTGTAACCACCAACAAAGACTGGGATGAGCTCCTGGGATCATGGGGAGGGATCTGCTGGGTTTTGGTGCCATTTCASTGAGATTTGGTTGTGTTTGCCCAGATCCTCATGCACGTGTTCTGCACTTACCTGGACTCCAGGCTTCCTCCTCACCCCAAATACCCCGATGGCAAAACCTTCACATCCCAACATTTCATCCAGACTCCGGATAAACCAGGTATTGCTGCTGCCCTGGAGCTGTCCTTTTCCTCTCAGATCACAGCAGCACCTCTGAAATCCTTATTTATTATTTATTTATTTATTTATTTTTAATTTTAAATTCAGACACTTCAAATGAAAACGTGTTCTGCATCTACCAGAGCAGCATCAACCCACCCCACTACGAGCTGATCTACGAGTGCCACGTTTACAGCCTGCCCAAGGTATTGGGATTTGTTCTTCTGCTCTCAGCAATCACCCCAAGAGCTGATTTGGGTTTTTTTTTAAAATCCTAAACCCATTTTTTGTCCATTTACACAGAGATTGTCCAGCTTGGTCTTTTCCCGTAACACTGTGCTTACTCTGCTGGTGAATACTACCTGTAGTATCTATTTAGGAGACCTGAGTTCCTAAACAGGAGCTTCCTCTTATGAATTTTCTGCCAATTTATTATATATTATAATAATAAATTATAATAATATATTTTAATATAATATATATATTATAATAATCACAATCTCTGGTGGGTGATGTCACTGATGTCACCCCTTAAGGCCGGTGTGAATTCTGATGGGGAAGTTCCAAGTTAACAAAATTCTGTGATTTTTAATTTTTTTTTTTTTGTTGGTTTCTAAATCCTTCTTTCTTCCTGTGGCTCCAGGGCAGGAATAACATGTTCCACACCTTGCTGATGTTCCTGTACATCATAAAGACAAAGGAATCTGGGATGTTGGGGTAGGTATCCCATGGGAACGAGGTGGGAACGGTGTCAGACCAGAACCACCACAATTAATGGTSTTAAAATCCAATTAACAGCAGCTTTTAATAAAAATGGCTAATTCTGATCCATTTGGGTGTTGCAGGCGTGTAAATCTGGGTTTGTCAGGAGTCAACATCCTGTGGATCTTTGGGGAATAATGGGAATTGCTCCGGAGAACGTCGCTGCTCTAGGATAAACCTGGATTTAAACATGGATCAATTAAAGCTCAGCTCTGTGGACAGAGGGAGGAAATGTCTGTGATTCCTGAGTGGATTTTACCAAAACATTACTCAGAATATTTCACTGTGGGAATGTTCCTCTGGATGAACTCTCAGAGTTCTCCTYCCTGCTCCTCACTTGAACCAGTCCTGCTTGAACTGAGCTTAACTGATCTCAGACTAAACTGAACTGAGGCTGCACAGCTGTGAGTGATCCAACACCTGGAAGGATAAACCAGCTTGGAGAACTTCAGCATCCAAGAATTTCCAAATTTGGAAGCTCAGAYTCAGTTTTGCTTCATTTTATCCTGCATGATAAAAACCCATGAATTTTTATCCCTGATTTTTGATGTAATTGTGTTTTCTGACCTCTCGAGATGTTCCTGCAGCTGAAAAGACAAAATTATGTTTGACTTGCTGAGTTCAGCAAATGAGAATTTTTATTTCATTTTCAATTTTTATTTCATTTTCAATTTTTATTTCATTTTCAATTTTTATTTCATTTTTCAATTTTTATTTCCATTTTTTATGCAGAACCAACGTGGCCTCTCCCTTTTGGGGGCCTTTGGAGCTCTGAACTCCCCAGGTCCCTTCACTGCCACCTACCTTGGCTTTTAAATTTAATTTTCCTGCAATTTTTCTCACTTATCACCACCAATTACAGAGTTTTTTGCACCCTGGTGGGAAACCAGGCTTTACACACCCAGGTTTTTGGGATGTACTTTTTTTTTTGGGAAAAAAGCACTTGGATTTGCTTCAAAGAAAGGATCAATGAATATTTATCAAATTTCTCTAAGGGGCAGAATGTGTTGTAAATTCTGGTAAATGAGCATTTATAGAACCATAAACACTTGAAATCATTGTACTGTATTTTTTACTGATGGGAGGGAAAGAGGAATTTTTGGAACTTTGCTGTTTTTGGGGTTTTGGTGACTCTGTCTCTTCCCTGGGGGATCTGGGTTTTTTCCAAAGAATTGGTAACAAAATGGCTCATTGGGTTCTTGCATTAAATAATTTTGTTTTATCAAACGCTTTTTGGGTTTTTCTTGGGTTCAGCATCACCACATCCATCCCTGAACCAAAGAGGAATATTTAAGAACCAGATTWAGCTGGGTTTTACCCCAAAACTGCCCCCATGGGCTCTGTTTGTCTCACGTTTGAGAAGTTTAAAGTGCAGAAATCTCTTCTTTTACCCAAAAGGGGGTTTTCAGGGAGAGCCCATCCTGCAGGGCACCCTTGGGTGCCTCAGGCTCTGCAGCCCCAGGATCCTGTGGGCTTTTGGGGTGTCTGGAACCCCGTAACCCCTGGGCCCCAGGATCCTGCGTGCTTTTGGGGTGTCTGGAACCCC